TTGGAAGTACTTGGAAAAAACGCTTCAGAAGAAGAAAAGAATAAACACGTAGAATCTGAGAAGCTGAGTTATAAAGAACTCTTTATAATTTATCAATGTCTGAGTCCAGAAAATTTTGAAAAAGTAAGTGATTCAGAATCTCCAAAAGAAGCTTGTGGGGTTCTTGAAAAGTCTTTTGGTGGTGCAGAAAAGGTGAAAGAAGTGAGGTTACAAACTCACAAGAGAACGTATGAATTACTTCAGATGGAAGATAGTGAGAGCATATATGATTTCTTCACTAGAGTTATAAAACTAGTGAATCAAATCAAGGTAAATGGAGAAACATTAACAACAAGAGTTGTTGTTTCGAAGATCTTGAGATCTTTGGCTCCTAAGTTCGACCATGTGGTGGTGGCTATAGAAGAAGGGAAAGACTTGTCGAAATTGACAAAGGAAGAGCTTCAAGGGATGCTTGAATCTCATGAACAAAGAACGACTGAAAGAGCTGCAGGAAAGACGAAGAGTGATGTGGATTTGTAGGAACATTCAACAAAAGAAACTAAAGGCAAAGGAAAGTGGTTCGACAGAGGTAGAGGCGGCTACAACAAATCGAGTGGTGGAGGAAACCGGAACAAAGAAAACGTGTCGAATCGGAGAAGACCATACCAAGGCAACCAAAGAGGTGGAGTTGCAAATAAAGGAAGAGGTGGTGGTCAAAAACCTGACAAGAGACACATTTAATGTTACAATTGTCAGAAGTATGGTCACTATTCGAGTGATTTTCCATAAAAGAAAAAAAATCAAGAAAGTGATGTAAAGTTTGCAAAATATGAAGAAGAATAGATGATGTTGATGGTCAAAACAAGAGATGAAGATAGATTCAAAGACCAATGGTACTTGGATTTAGGATGCTCATCACATATGTCTAGAAGGAAAGACTAGTTTGTCAACATAAAGCCCGCAATGAAAAATATGGTAAAATTTGCAAATGATAATATCCTAGCAGCTTAAGGTATTGGTGATGTTATGATTATGATGAAAGATGGCAAGAGGTCAATAATTTCCAATGTGTTGTACATACCAGGCATGAAGAGCAATTTTCTTAGTATAGGCCAGTTGGTCGAAAAGAATTATAAAGTGTTGATCAAAGATAAGATGATGAGAGTCGTCGATGCAAATGAAAGATTAATCTTGAAGGATCCTATGTCTCAGAATAGAACCTTCAGGATCGAAATAAATGTGATGGAGCACAAGTGCCTTTCGGCTACAGCTAGCAAAGATGAATGAATATGGAATTATCGACTAGGCCATCTCAACTTCAGAGACATCAGAGATTTGAAGAGAAGAAATATGGTTTTAGGATTGCCAGAAATCCACATTCCAAATGAGGTATGTGAGGAATGTGTGCAGGCGAAGCAGCACAAGAATAACTTCAGCAATGATGCAGGAAGCAAGTTGAAGGTTATTCTTGAAGTCCTATACTCTGATGTATGTGGACCAATCCATGTGGATTCGATGGGAGGTAACAAATACTGTGTACATTCATAAATGATTTCAGTCAAAAGTTGTGGACTTACCTGATCAAGAAGAAAAGTGAAGTGATCGAGGTATTTGCAATATTTAAGTCTATGGTTGAAAGACAAAGTGGTAAAAAACTCAAAGTTTTGAGAACTGATGGTGGTGGAGAGTATGTGTCAAAAGACTTCGAGATGTTATCTGAAAAGAAAGGGATTTTGCATGAGGTGGTGCCACCCTATACTCCACAGCATAATGGAACTGCAGAAAGGAAGAATTGAACCATCATGAATATGGTGAGAAGTATGTTGAAAGGAAAGAATTTACCTAAAGAGTTTTGGGGTGAAGCTGTGTCGACTACAACATATATTTTGAATAGATGTCCTATGAAGAAGCTAGAAGGAATTACTCCAGAAGAATGTTGGTTTGGTGTGAATCCTAGCTTGAGTCATCTGAAGGTATTTGGATCTATTGCACATAGACATATTCCAGATCAGTTGAGAAGAAAACTTGATGACAAGTCGAGTCAAATGATTCTAGTTGGATATCATTCGATAGGAGGTTACAAGTTATTCGACCCAATGAACAAGAAGATTATGATCAACAGGGACGTGATCATAGATGAGCTTAAAGAATGGGATTGGACTGAAAATATCAAGAAAGATTCAGTGGGAATCCTACTTAAAGAACCAGAAACTCAAGTCGAAAGAGAAGTTCAACAAGAGGAACCAGAAGTTATAGATCAACCAAGTACAAGCAGACCTCAAAGAATAAGATGCATGCCTGTAAGATTGAAAGATTGTGTGATTATATTAGATGATGTGATAGATAATGAAGTTGATTTGGTACATTATGCTTTCTATGCAGATGTCGAACCTGTCAATGCAACTGAAGCATTGAAGGATTCGAAGTGGGTGAAAGCATTGAACGAAGAAGTGAAGTCTATCGAAGACAACAACACTTGGTCACTTGTTGAATTGCCTCAAGATAAGAAGGCAATTAATGTCAAGTGGGGATACAAAATGAAAATGAATTTCAAAGGGGAAGTAACTCGACATAAAGCAAGGCTTGTGGCGAAAGGATTTCTACAAAAAGAAAGAATAGACTTCGATGAAGTTTTTGCACCTGTTGCTAGGATCGAAACAATCAAGTTAGTTGTTGGTCTAGCTGAAATAAATAGATAACACATATGTCAGATGGACGTGAAGTATGCACTCATGAATGGATCCTTAGACGAAGAAGTTTATATTAAACAACCAGTTGGGTTTGTGAAACATGATGAAGAGAGAAAGGTGTACAGGTTGCATAAATCCCTGTATGGATTGAAACAAGCTCCAAGAGCTTGGAATAAGAAAATTGATAATTTCCTAAGGGAGAAAGAATTTGTGAAGTGCACAACTGAACATGGAGTATATGTAAGAAGAAGCAATAGTGAATTTCTTATACTATGTCTCTATGTCGATGATTTGTTGATAAAAGGTAGCTGCAAAAGTGAGATCGAAGACTTCAAAGGTGATCTCAGCAAGGAATTCGAAATGTCTAATCTGGGTGAAATTTCATATTTCCTTGGCATCAAATTCTACAAGAGCAGTAGAGGTTTGATGAAGCATCAAAGAAGATATGCAGGAGAAATTCTCAAGAGATTTGAGATGGAAGAATGCAACTCAACTTCGACACCTGCAGAACTAAGACTGCAACTGTCGAAAGATGCAGATGAAGATGACGTCGACCCAACCCAATACATAAGACTTATTGGGTCATTGAGATACCTTTATCATATAAGGCCTGACTTAGCATATAGTGTAGGTATGGTAAGTAGATTCATGTAGAAGCCAAAGGTATCATATCTAGCAGCGGTGAAGAGGATACTAAGGTATCTCAAAGGAACTCTCGACTATGAAATTTTGTTTCCTACAGTTGATAAAGGAAAAGAATGCAAGTTAGTGGAATACACTGATTCAAGTTGGTGTAGTGATGCTGAAGATCGAAAATCAACAGCAGGATATGTGTTTATGTTAGGTGATGCACCAGTTGCTTGGAGTTCAAGAAAGGAACCAGTAGTGGCATTATCATCATGCAAAGTAGAATATATAAATGTTTCTCTTTGTGCATGTCAAGCAACTTGGATGGTGAACTTGGTCGAAGAGATAACAGGAAAAGATCATATATCAATTACCATGAAGATCGACAGCATGTCAGCTATCAATCTGGCGAAGAACCCGATAGCACATGGCCGAAGAAAGCACATCAAAATGAGGTTCCACTATCTTCTAGAGCAGGTAGCAGATGGGAAGATGAATTTGGAACACTACAGAACTGAGAATCAGATTGTAGACATCATGACGAAGGGAGTGCAGGTCGGAGTATTCAGAAGACTAAGAACCATGATGAATATAGATTGTTTAGACATAATGAATTAGATGGTGTGTTAAATTATAATTCAATTGTGTCAAGACAACGTGTGTGTTGAAGGGAGGTTTCCCAGTCGAAGAGTTTGTGGATTGAAGCAAGTTACACACAGATTTGATTGGTTTTAGATTTAGATAGATTTGATTTAGATCTAAAATAGATAGATTTGATTTAGTACCAAAATAGGTATTTTGGGCTTTTATAGTTTTGGGCTTTGGCTTAGGAAGCAAGCTAACCTAAATCTATAAATAGAGGGAGTAATCCCTAATTTTGTAATTAAGTCAATTCATTGTAATCACAGAATTTGCAGTTGCAAGTGATTAATAAAGTTTTCCACAGTTTGTGAACTGAGAGAAACTCTGCAGAAAATAATTGTTTTCTTTCTTTTCTATTCTTTTATCATAATTCATTGTCATTGTGTGGTGATATCAATCTTGTTCATCAAAATTGATAGAATTCATCATAGATATTTGGTGAATTTCCAACACAATGCACGTAAATAATTCTATAACTAAACTCCATCCACACTAGGATTTTAAGTTCATGTTTTCTCTAAGCTTTTGTGTGATCATATCTAGCATTATAATACAAAATGTTCTATAATTCAAGATTATGTTTTTGCTGATTGAGTAAGAATATTGTTGTTTTGTGACCTAAGTAAATTTAAGAGGTTAGAATTTTGAAAACTCGTCTTATTTTATTCAAGGCTTAAATAGTCTTTTGATTTTTGTAAGCTAGTATGTTTTTGATTTTGGTACTTGTATTTTTTTTCTTAGAAATAATCCTTGAATGTTAAAATCATTTTTGTTTTAATCCGTAAGAAAATTTGAAGGTAAATCCGTAGAAAATTTGTAGATTTTCTTGCAGATTTTCGGTTTAGAAACTAAAACCAAATGAATTTCAACATTTAAAGAGTTTATTTAAAAAAAATAGAGGAACGGAAAAAAAACACGCTAATTTAGATAGACAAAAAAAACTGTTTAAGTCTTTATTCAAATTAAGAGGTCATGTTTATTTCCATTATTTTGCAATGTCACAAAGAAACATGCTGGAAGACCCAAAAACTCATGCATGAATCACATGCTAGTTATATATGATCACACAGTTTCATAATAATTAAGAGACAAACGAGGTTTGATGAGAACTTCAAGAGGAGTAACTTTGATGTTGGATGTTTCCACAACAGCAGTCATATCAACCGGATCACTTGAAGTTTTCGAGATTTCAAAGGCGTGAATAAAATTCGCAAGAGTCAGAAAAGCCGTTCGAAGGCCAAACGATAGTCCAGGACAAATTCTTCTTCCACTTCCAAACGGTAAAAACTCGAAATGATGACCCTTAACATCAACATCTTTATGAGTAGTAAGAAACCTCTCGGGCTTGAACTCCAATGGATCTGACCAAACACTAGGATCGGTTTGAATCTTCCACAAGTTTGTGAATAATCGGGTTCCTTTCTTCACACGGTAGCCACCAATGTTGCAATCTTGGCTGAATTCGCGAATTCCCGACAGAGGTGATGCTGGATAAAGCCTTAGTGTTTCTTTGACAACAGCTTGAAGGTATACCAACTTGTTTATATCTGATTCTGTAATGCATAGTCTCTCTTTGCCAATGTGGAGATCAATTTCTTCTTTTACCTTTTCCAATGTGTGTGGATTGTTTAATAATAAACACAATGCCCATGTGTGTGTAACACTAGTTGTGTCCGTTGCTCCCAAAATTAGTGCCTGCAAAATGAGTACAAATTATTTAACATTTGTATAATTTATTTTTTTACATGTAAAGAAAGTAATAATAATAACCACTACAAACTCAACATAATTTAGTGTTCGAACTTAGATAATGATATTTTATTTAGGGGTGATAAAATGAATTTAACTTATCGAACATTCTATTTTATCTGTACTTTTTACTGGATGAATCAAGGTTTTAGATCTGTACACTTTAATGTGTTTCTTGATTTTAGTAGATTTTTGTGGACGTGAACTTTATCATAAATTTTTGCAATTTTTAAATTTTAGAGGTGTAGTGTCCGCAAGTCCATCCCGTTCCTTTCTCATTTTTTTCCAAATTGAGTCAAAGTTTTAGCCCCACACTCTCAACTATACCCGTCTCATTCCACTCTATTTCATTTTTGTAGGCTTTTAAAAGGCAGGCTAAACAGGATAGACATGTCGGTTTATCATCGGTAATTAAACCTATAAATATTGACTTTTTGCAAGGTGAACAAAGTAGTTAATATTATAACATTTGTGATAATAGGAACATACCAGTGTTGTGGCTTTTATGACAGAATCAGAATCAAATCCATGAATGTTTGTTCCATCAATAGTAGAAAGCATCACATCCATAAAATCATGATCACCTTTACTCTTATCATCAACCCTCTTCTTCTTATGCTCATCCAACCATTCAGTCACAACAACATCCAATTTCTCAAAATTTTCCTTCATATTCTTTTCATTTCCACCAAAATCAAACCACCTCAACCAAGGAACAACATCCCCAACCGTAAACACACTAATCAAACGCATATAATCCCTCAAAGCTTTCAAACACCTAGTAGCTTCTTCCTCTTTAACTACCACATTCTCTCCAAAATATCTCTTTCCAACAAACATTCTAAGAGCAACATTAAAAGCTACTTCATGAAACCACTTCTTCATCTCCACCAACAAATATCCATTTTGGTCTTTTTCATTTGTCCATAAATTAAAGAGCTCTTTAATCGAAGTTTCAACTTCGGAGACACGAAGGTGAGTTAATAGATCGAGCCGATGGTTCGAGAGAAAATTATGCGTAACGATCTTGCGCATTTCGCGCCAATAGGGACCATAAGGTGCAAAACCGAACATTGCATGATTATATGTCATGTGTTCCAGTGCAACTAGGTTTGGGCGATAGGACACAGCAATGTCGTTTGTTGTGTAACACTCTTTCGCAGTTTCCCAATTGTTGATTACTAGAGTTTTCGCAGCGCCGAGTTTGATGGTGAAAATAGGACCATACTTGTCTGCCAAGGCACCTAGAAAATGATGAGTTGGTTGAGATTTGGTTAAGAGGGGAAGGTGGCCAATTATTGGCCATGCACCAGCAACCATTGGAGGTTGTTTGGTTTTGGAGTGATGGAAGAGAATTATGAAGAGAGGGATTGTTGAAAGGAGAACAATTGCAAGTGTGTTTTGAGAGAAATCCAAATCCATTTGGATTTGTGAAGATGGTGATTCTTTTGATAAATGAGAGGTTTTGGATTTGAGGTTTGTACTCTGAAGATTTATTTATTGACTTTATAATGTAAGATAAATATTATAAATTACTAGATCATAAATGATATATAAAAATAAAAAATCAATAGCCAATGTATTTAGTCTAAATTTTTTATTAACTACATTTGAGTTTTTGGATAATTTTTAAATACATTTTGTTTATATTATAATAAAGATGGAGTATTAATTGAAAAATAAAAAGTAGAGATTATATAATAAATAGTTAAGAAAATGATAAAAAATGAAAAATGATTTTAATAAAAATATTAAAATCTGTTGACAGTTTTAGGATGTATAAAAAAATTAAAACAACAAACCAATGGGTGTTATAAATATATTTAAAAAGAAAAACCAATGGGTATATTGTAAATATATTATACACATTACACCTCATTCAATTTATATTTTTTAATTAAAGAATTTACCTTTAATTAAATGTTTTTGGATTCACTATACTCTTTTTTTTTTTTAATATTGAAGAAAAAATATTATTTTTTATAAAAAGATTTAGGTGAATTGAACTTCATGGACTCACTAGAGTCTGCATACCACAAAATTCAAACAAGACATATAAAATACTTATCCATTATTCACTAAACAAATCTTTAGATTTCTTTACCACTAAGCCATTCCATCGACAATTTCCCTCTTCTTCTTAATTGTCACATTTTAGAAGAAATAAAATTTATTATTACTTTTCTTTTAACATTCAATGAAATATTATTTATTATTTTGTTAATAATAACATCCGTTATTTATAAATAGAAATAAATGGAATGAATCGATAAATAGTTAATGATATTAGAAGAAAAAGACAAATAATTCAATCAAAAGTTATACTCTTTTCGTTTTTTATTATAAGTTGTTTTGAAAAAAAAATCATATCACAATAATTAATGTATAATTTATGATATTTTTTCTATTATATCCTTAAATATATTTTTTTTTTAATTATATAAATTTATCTTTTATATATTATTTTTTATTTTTATATAATAATTATTATTTTTCTTAATATGTATGAAAAATTCAAAATCACAACCAAAAAGAATTATAGTCTAGTAAGTAGGTCTCAAATGACAGTTGGAAATGTTGAATTTTAAAATTAAAAAAAAATTTAAAAGTTTTAATATCAAACTAACAAATTTTTTTAATTTATAATTCTCAATTTAATCATGTTTCAAATAAAAAAAAGATTAAAGTGATACCTCCTATATTTTTATTCAAATTTTTTTAGTTATTAATAGATTTTTCTGCATATTTGATATTACATTTGAATTTATCTGTGAATTTTTTTATGGACCCGCAGAGAATAATTTATAGATAAATAGGCAAATAAATTCGTAAAAAATATCAAATCTATAGATAAATGAAAAAAATAGGAAAAAAATATAAGAGGTGCTAATTCAAGTGGCGTTTTCTCTTTAATTTTTTTTTTGAAACATAGTTAGATTGAGAATTATTGAAAAAAATTTATTAGTTTGATATTAAAATTTTAAAACTTGATTATTTAAAATAAAAATCCGCAAATTCTTGTGTGGAAGAATGAGTTTAAATTTGAGATTCTTCAATTCTTAATATTAAGCCCCATTTTATCTAATTTTATAAAATTACTTTTAAAAACTATTTTATTTAAGAATTTTAAAAATTAAAAAATTAAAATAAATTTTAAAATATTGATATGATAAAAAGTGTCAAAACCAAAAAATAAAAATAGAAAAACAACTGAAAAAATAAAGTAGCCGACATCTAAACAAATCACCACCTCTTAAAAATAAAAGAAAAATGAGTTAAATAATAAAGGGTTAATATCACTTTATTCTTTATAATGTATGGAATTTTAATTTATTTTTTTTGTAAAAGAAATTTTAGGTTACTCTTCTGTAATTTTTTTTTGTTTATCTTATAAGTATATAAATTAAATATTAAATTTGAAGAGTAAATTAAATTTTTTATAGGAAATATTTTTTGTATTTAATAGACAAAAGATATAAAATTTTAATATTTTAAACAAGTGATTCAATTTTTTTATAAAAAATAAATTAAAATTCGTCTATATTACAAAGATATATTATATATTCAATCTAATAATAAAAAATATAAATAATTAAATCATATACAATTTTATTTGTGTCTGTCGAAATTATTTCATGTGGTTTGACCAAGCATCGTGAAGCAATATTTTCTTTTCTTTTATATAAATAACTTATAAATGAAATTAATTAAAGGTTTAGGTTCGAATTAAGTTCTATTTATTGTATATTATAATTCTATAAGATTTGTAAGATTAGTCTCTACGATTATTATAAAGAATATTGATTTATGCAACAAAAAAACTCATAAAAAAATAAAAAAAAGTTTAATTAAAGAGTGAAAAACTTTATTTTTCTTACATAATAATATTAAAACATGTTTAAATATACTTTTGTTCTCTCTATTCTAATATTTTTTATTTTTATTTTTTAGCACTTCAACTTCAAAATTCAACTTTTTTTAATCCTTCAAAATCTATAAAATCTATATGTTTAGGCCTAACCTGTGACAATTTCTCTACAACTCACATTTAGACATAATTCTTAGTTTAATATGCTATATAAACACTAATTAAAACTCAAACAAAACCGATGTAGGACTCTTGTTACACTAACTCGCTTTTTCTGGCAATGACATCTATGTTAAAAATAATTGTGTCAATATCAGATCTAGCTATGCAACATTAACACCGTATCAAATACATACATAACAGTATTTTTTAATAAAATAATATTATGTAAAAAATAATTTATTTTTAAAATTTATTTTATAATATAAATATAAGATTGTGTCATTAATCAACTGTGAGTGCACTTGTCTATTAGATATTTGGCATGATGTCAAAATTAAGACACCTTTAACATTTATGTATATTGAGCGGTATTTCTGAGTCTTTATGCGCATCTTTGCATTCAGGTTCTTAGAATGCATTCAGAACATATTTTAAAAAGATACAATACATTAAAAATGAATTTTTACATGAAAAATAGTTCTATGTATCGACACATACAATGTATGACTCGACACATGTGAATCAATAATAAAACCTGTAGCTTTTGTAACTATGTGTTGACACATACAACCCTTCAGGTCGACACATGCTAAAAATTTTCATCTATGTGTCGACACATACGTGCTTAGGTCGACAAATCTACTTCATTTTTAGAGCATGTAAGCTTTTGTTTCTTTATGACGACACATGACCTTAAACAGGTCAACACATGTCATTACATGTGTCAACACGTGACTTATATATATCGACACATACTGTAAATTTTCTAAAAAATTACATTTCTTTTCAAATTTTAAGCTTCCATTTTTGCCTCCAACTTGCACACATATAAATACTTTATACATGCATCATTTTCAAGTGATGAAACTATAAATACATACAAAAATTGCTCATCATCTTCAACCTCTCATCTATGCATACACGCAAACAAAGTACACATAATCATTCATTATTTGGTTGTCATCTAGACTTGTGTTGATAACGTTCAATTTAGGTTGGTGTAACCTAAGATTGGGTTGACAATTTTTGGGGGTTTCTTCGGAAAACTTTGAGGATTGTTCTTCCAAGATTAAAGTGTGGATTTCGGGGTTTTGACAAGATTTCGCAAATATTAGATTCTATCGAGTGAAGAGCTTTGAAGAAAGGGAGGTTCTTGCAAAGGAGTAGCGTGAATGGTGAATCGTTTGGTAATCTTGAGTGACAATAATTCACAATTTAGATTCGACCGAGTGAAAGATTTGAAGAATGGGGTTTCTGGCAAAGGAGAAGCGCAAGATGGTGGATCAAATTGGTATTGTTTGGTGACTTGATCAAACTCAGACCAAGGGAAGAGAAAGTTCTAGGATCAACATCAAACATAGGGTTTGTAGGGTTGAATTGTTACATTTCTCTTGTAAACAATTTTTTGCATATTAAGAATTCTTATCTCAATTTCAAACGGAATTGAGGGCAGACGTAGCCATAGAAAGGACGATTGGTGAACAGCCTAAACAAATCCTTGTATTCTCTCTCTCTCTCTCTCTCTCTCTCTCTCTCTCTCTCTCTATTTCATTTACTTTGTATATCAAATTGTTAAATTCATTGATGCAAAATTGATTCGTATAGACATATCCTTTGATTATTTAGCATTGTTTTGTTGATTACATTACAATCAATTAGATTATAATGGTATTTCATATCAACAAAGTTAAAGGGAAAATCTGAAAAATCGATTGCACGCCAAGTATTTAATAATTTGCTCGTTTTACCTTTACCAATAATATCATCGGAAATTGGTTAATAATTGTGATCATTATAAAAATATTGATTGAGAAATTATTGTATTGAGTCTTATCATCATTTTACATTTCATTTTGTGGTTAATAATTGTGATCATTATAAAAAGATTTGATTTTTGTTTCTTGTGGACCAAGTTGTGCATTTAGATATTTGATTTATTGAAGATTTGTTTCAAGCTAGAAATATCTGAAGATTTAGTTCTCAAAATAGAATGTCAAAACATTATTGAGAACATATATTTCTACATCAAAAGATTTTATTTGATTTGACTTGATTTGTAGAATATTTGTTTGGTCAGATTTAATATTCAAGCTCAGGCGCTTTTGTGGCTATAAATAGAAGCATTTTAAACTTAAAGGAGATACGAAGTCTCACATGAGAGTAGAGACTTTAGGGTTTCATATTTTTGTTGTTCATTGTTTATTGTGAGCCACTCTTGTATCTTGTTGATACATGAGTTAGACTTTTTAGTTGAGTTGTAATTTGTGAACCACTCAAAGGTTGTGAAGTAGTAGTGTGTTGTGTTTAATTGGAAACATATCTTTTACTTTAATTGTCTTGGTTGTAATTGTTACTGGTTTGTGACTAAGGAGAAGTTATAGGGGTCTCATAT